GACATGACATGGCGCATTGCCATGAGGGAGGGTACTTGATCTGCAACAGTGTTTTGATAGGTGGTGCATGTTAAGTAGCATCCACATGAATGCAAGGTTTCCCAGCAGACATTGCATTGTAACAAGATGATCAATATTATTCCCTTAACTTTTCAGTGGTTTTAATGTTGTGGCTGATTGGTGTACATTGATTACTAAATCCAAAATGTTCATTCCCTACATTAACTCTTGAAAAGAAGCTAGAATTGAAAGTCGGTCAAAGACAAGACATGGTCCATTTAGTAGCTGTTCTGGAGCTTTTGATCATATTAGAAGTCCTTAAACCTGCATTTACTGATATTTTTTTCTATACATGGTAGTGGTGGGAACAAGCTGTGTACAGTCCACTGACAGCACCTTATTAAGTTTGTATGGGACACTTGTTGGAAACAGAACACCATTGTCATTCATTTGGAGCCATGTTTTTGGTGACCTGTTAGATTCAAGTCTAGTCTAATCTTTACTCTGCTTTTGGTCTCCACCTACACTGGAGGGAAATACTTGGCCCTTAAGTCGCTAAGTGCTCCACTGTGTTCACCAGCAGCTACTTACTAACTTAGTCTGCAGTTTGGTGTTGGGCAGGGAGTATACACAGTGGGTTTTGTCACGCTTTTTCTTTAAGCGGAAACAATGTTGATGAGAGTGAACCACAACAGTGAGTGGGCTGTGAAACCAAAGAGTGAGATGAAAGTTGCTGAAACACTCAGTAGAGCTGAGAGGAACAGTAGAGTTGGGGATTATTATCTGCGAGTTTGTCACTAGTGACACTTTTTAAATTAAAGGTAGTCATTCGACCCGGTGTTAATGTAGAATATTCATTAGAGCAGCTTTTAAAGTGCTTTGAAAACTCTCCATCTGTGGATAGAGATCATGTGATATGCTCCAGAAGCACTTTTCATCATATAGGACTAAAAGATTATCTTAAACCATATGTATATTAATCAATGCAATATCTAAGCGATCAAGGATGAGAGACAAAAAAGTTTTTGCTTAGTAAGCTCGTCACGTTAATCACCCACAAACACACATACATACTTAAACGCGGTGCCAAGAGGATATATTAATACCCTTCATGAGATATTCACGAAAGCTCAGATAAACCTTTACAGTGCAGCAGGCCGTTACATAACACATATAATTCCCTGTCTCTTATACAATGACGCTCCAGCTTACAGTTAAAATCCCTAAAACTGCACATGAGTCGGATCGAAGCCTTGACTCCCTGAACAGATCTCCACCGGCTGGTGTAGATTATAAACTAGAGGTAATCAGATATTTGCTATCAAGGCTCTTTGAACACTGATATTTGTCCCTGTGTTGTATTTATTTTAGGTATTTATTTTAAATTAATTTGTGAAGTTGCCACAATGGGGGTGATGCAATCGTCATGATTACGTAAGCTGTGATTGTTAAAGATAAAACACATTGTGATAATAATGATGGTAGTGACGGTCATGAAGTCGTCAGCACTGTGAATGAAGACAGAGAGGTACACACAGTGTTAAAAGACACAGAGGAGGGCATGTGCATTTAGCTGTGAAGGTGATAGCCTGTACGGATGCACTGTCACAGGGAAACAGCCTTAAGGGTAACACTAACACAGTGTGAGATCATTATTGTATTATTTCAATGTTTTTAAGCTGTGGCTGTGCTCTAAAATCAATGTCAGAGATATTTTAGTGTCTCAGTGTCCTCTCAGATATGGAAACTAAAGGAGACAAAATAAATATAATGAAATAAAAATAAAATTTAGAATAAAATAAATTAAAATTAAAATTAAAATTGATTTTTTTCAAGACATGTCATTACCACCAAAAAAATAATTAATTAAAAAAAACAGAAACACATAGTCTGTCAGTTTGGAAAGCCTTCTGTGTTAAAAACTAAAGAATAAAAGAAATATAAAGAACTGTCTTTAAGACTTTTAAAATGATTTATTTCAGCTACAGAATAAGATTTTGGTCAGATTGTTGAATATGATTTATAAAATGGTTTGGAAACAAACAGTAGAAGATGTGAAACAAAATCCAAATATTGAGTCATTACTGTCTCCTGATGCCACATTTTGAGCTGTGACTGATCCTCCTTTTTTGGGAGGCCCAGTTTCGGAAATGAAAACCATAATACAGTGGGCATGCAGCTCATTGCTCTGTGCCAATATTAAAATATTGCGGCATCACATCTCACTACACGGTCCTTCGAAGGATGCTGCTCTGTTCAGCTGCTCTGCAGTCAGCTCTACCTTTGTGCCTATAAATCTGAGATGGAAGGGAGAGATGGTGAAACTGAACCTGGATCTGTCGCTCCTGGAACAAGAGAAAAGATCTCGCGTGGCTTTCATCCCACCTCTACCACTACTGCCAGAGAGGAGACAGCAGGAAGAGGTCTCACTCTGACATTATTTCTGGTGTGAGAAAACATCAAAGCAAAACACAGCAGGGAAACATAGATGAATAGAACTGTTGTGCATTTAATAAAAAGACTAGACAGACACAAAAACAGACTTTGGCTGTCAGATTTAAGGTTTAAGGTTTCATAGACTGATGAAAGCTAAAGGTTAGGGCAATGTGAAGAGATGCTTTCATAGGACGGTGAGTCCCATGTATGAAAAAAGGGTTGGACAAAAATACAAACATCAAAATCCACCACAGTAAAGTTAAATTTTCAATATTAAAATGGTCGCTTTAAGTTTCTGAAAAAAAGACCAAATTAAAGATTGATTGTATTAATTATAAGATTTCGGGGGATATACTGGCAGAAATGATACATAATATTCATAACTATGTTTTCATGAGTGTACATCTATCCATTTTCAACCGCTTATCCGAAGCCGGGTCGCGGGGGCAGCAGGCTGGGCAAAGTATTCCGGACGTCCCTCTCCTCAGCAACGCTTTCCAGCTCCTCCTGGGGGACCCCAAGGTGTTCCCAGGCCAGACGAAATATGTAATCCCTCTTGCATGTTCTGGGTCTGCCCCGGGGCCTCCTACCAGTGGGACATGCCCAAAACACCTCCAACAGGAGGCGCCCAGGAGGCATCCTGATCAGATGCCCGAACCACCTCAACTGACCCCTTTGGCGTAAAGGACCAGCGGCTCTACTCCGAGCTCCCCCGGATGTCTGAGCTCATTACCCTATCTCTATGGTTGAGCCCAGACACCCCACGGAGGGAACTAATTTCCGCTGCTTGTATCCGCGATCTCAATCTTTCGGTCACTACCCAGAGCTCATGACCATACGTTAAGTGCAACACACACCGCCGCCATACACCGCGCATCAAAATGCCTGCTTCCATTATATTCTATGAACAAACCCACACCGGCGGCACGCCGTGCCGCTCTGCTGCAGCCCACTGCTCTATTTCCAGCGCAGCCAGCGCTGTGAGAAAAGCCTTTTATGTACGTCTTGGCTGCCGTAGTACCAACTCTTCTTCTTCCGTTACTAGCAGTTGGCAACCGTTGGCAACTAGTGTAGGTAACGTTACAGCCACCTTTACTACTTCTGTTAAAATAAACATTACAGGTTAAAACATAAAACTGTTTGTGTTAAATTACAACAACAATAACGAAAGATATGAGATGCAGTAGGATTAACATTTGAGGCTAAAAAAGTTAGCTAAAAGGCTAAAAAAAAAACGTTAGCTAAATGTTTTAAGCTAGTCAATTGTGGGTTTCACTTGCAGCTTTCAAAGGGGTTTCTGGATGCTTAACGTTATTAAGTTTTTCAAATTTTTAATAAGACGATTTTGATAAGAAACTCACCTGTGAAATCCAATTTGTTGTTGCCTCAAAATTTTTCCTCTTCTTCTTCCATTACTAGCAGTTGGCAACTGTTGGCAACTAGTGTAGGTACAGCCACCTAGCGGGCTGGGGTGGGAAATACACTTTAGTGTAGACGGTGCGCGCTGCTGCCAATGTGTGTTGGAGGGTGCCACTTAACGGCCACAGCTCCGCACCGGCAGCAGTGTGTGTTGCACTTTAGGGTTGGGATGTAGATGGACCAGTAAATTGAAAGCTTCGCCTTCCGGCTCAGCTCCCGCTTCACCACGATGGTCCAGCACAGTGCCTGTCGCTTTGTATTATACACCTAATTTAAGGTTTATAACCACCTTAAAATAAGAATCGCTGTGTTTTTGTTGAGATTGAGACATAGCCTATATATATACACATATGGAGCGGGTCCTTCTCTATGGAGTCCACCATGTTGTCTCTACAGTAGCCCAGAATGGACAAACCAAACACTGATTCTAGATAGGGCTATTAACGTTTTTGCGTTGGCCATCGTAGTTCTCTTACACACTTTGCACACCAGAAACATTTCAGTTGGTTTCAATTTGCAACCTCAATGTGGGATGATGTTGATTTGTCTATTTACCATGTTGTATGTTGTAATTCTGTGGCCGCAGTATGGGTGTAGGGCCCAAGACAATTGAATCTTGAAAAATGGAAGCTTTATTAAAAGGAGCACCAGGTACTCAATAATGAGGACTGAATAATTGAAAAAATAGAAAGTGGTGTGTCCTGAGGGAGCAAGCTGTCTTCAAAAATTGTCGGTCCTTATGGATTGAGATATTTAAGGGCATCAGGGGCTAATGATTGTATATGAATGTTTGTGTTTGCACAGGGGAGTATGTACCGGTGCCCTGAGTGCAGCAGCAGCAGCAGCTGTGGTCGTCTAAGATTTTGCAACTTATGCGTTGGAAAAGATGCACTCTGCAGACAGTGGGACGTCATTTCACCAACTTCAAGATGAGCTCAAAGTAAGAAACATAATGGAAATAAAGAATCAAATAGAAAATGTCAGAACCACAAGATATTCCATCAAGTAAATAAATACTAACACCCACTTCTGCAAACCAGTTCAAATGTCCCTTTATGTTTTAACCACAGAGTGAGTCATCATCTCAATAGAGGATCTTCGTTACTACAGCTCCTCTCTATCCTCCCTCCTCTCCTCTCCCCTCCCACTCCCTGCTCCTCTCTGAGCTCGAGCCTCTCTTCCCCCTCTCTGCCTTCACTAGTTCTCCTCCCGAAACCTGCGTGAGGCGGCCACTGAAGCGCGAGCCGATTCCCCCCTCTCCCCTGCCTGCACTTGAGTCAACATGGCTACAGTTGTAACCTCGACCAGATTCACAGACGAATATCAGCTGTACGAGGAACTCGGAAAGTAAGCGACCGTCACCGCTGCTGCTGCTGCTCTTGTTGCATTCAGTGTGTGTGTGTGTGTGTGTGTGTGTGTGTGTGTGTGTGTGTGCCCGCATGTGTGTGTGTGTTTGCACGTTTTTCTCCTCTCTGCTGCTGCTGCTGCCATTGTGCGCGTTTACTTGAGTGTTGACAAGGCAAAGGGAGAGGGGCTGTCAAAAAACAGGGAAGGGTAGGAGAAGCACCTCAGCAACAGTCAGCTGCAGGTTCATGTTGGCAGCACAAAGGCTCGTGTTTAATCCTGAGTGTGTATTTAAAGCTGTATCGCACCATTGTCGCTCGCTTTGTAACCCTAAAGGTGCGAAACATCCACGCAACTTGTTTGTCAATTTATCTGCAGGTAGCACGCGTCGAAGACTCGGGTCGCACGCGCCCGTTGCCTGGTGGCATCCTCGCGCTCCTGTTCAATCATTCAGCTGTGTTTTTGTGCGTTTCTAAGCAGACTGCAGGGCTACTGAATATGTCAAAAAAAGGGGAAGACGAGGCTTTGCTGCAAACATGACTGTGGTGGCTGCACATTTTGGCTATGCGCATCACACGCACTGCATGCAGGATTAAAACATGAAAGGACACATAGGTTACAGTGTATGTCCTGGCTACAAAGCCACTTTGTAACATCTAATCTCTGCGTGTGGCTAATAGAGCTGCTCCACCTTCCAACACAGCCGACAGCACGAGTTTAAAGGAGGCGTCTGTGCAAAAATGCAGCCAGCTCAATGTTAATTCTACCTTTCAGTGGCTTCATTCTCCTGTACTCATGTTTCTTCCTGCGAGCTAATGACTGGGTCCTTTCACAATGAGACAAGCCCTCTCCCTCCCCCTGTCACGCACTAGTAGCCAGGACCTCTTCTCACATCTCCCACACAGATATCAGACTGTATTAATTATGCATGTGACTTCCTTTCCCCTCTCTTTAGGTGTGTGTGATTCATGCATGCCCTTAGTGTGTGACAAGTTTGTGCATTTCCCCCTGTGTGCAGAAATGTGATGTTATGCTTTTATAAGTGGTTTCACTGATCTGTCATCGATTTCTTCTGCTCCAGGGGTGCCTTCTCAGTCGTCCGCAGATGCGTCAAGAAGTCCACCGGCCAGGAGTATGCTGCTAAAATTATCAACACAAAAAAGCTCTCAGCCAGAG